CTATAAGTATGTATTTCATGACCATGAAGAGAATTTTCATGAAGTGAATTTTCAATTTACGCCTTTCTCTTTCTTGCTGTTGGTTTCTACACATTCTGGTCAGATAACGTCTCGCTTCTTTGATGGCTGAATCAGCTCCTAATTCAAGAAGATTATCATAAGGTCAGTTTTCCTCTTCATTTGTTTGTTAATCATCTGAAGAAGATTGTTACTTTCACTTATCAATCGCTCTTTGTCTGAGCTACCAAAACCATTGCTATCCTCGTTTGAAACTTGATCCGTTTTCCCTCTTGCATCTGCATTACCGCATGATGATTCTACTGTTCAGGTTTTGACTGTTCCGTGTGCTGGAACTTCCGGTTGTTTCCTTTGTTTCCTCGCACTCCAATTCATCGTTGATCCCGACTGTTTCTATCCTGCTGGATATGTGCTCTTCTCTCCCCAGGGTTGTTAACTTGATCCATGACTATTGATCTGTTACTCTTCCCATTTACCCCTTTCTGATGTTTTAAAACTCTATTTTGCTATTGACCAGACCAGGGACAATGGGAGCTTACGGTACTTCTCCGGAGAACAATCAGTTTACGCGACTTCAACCCCTTTGAAGGTTCAAGAATGAACCAATTTGCGGCCAAAGAAATGAATTGACTACATTGTCATTGACTCTTGTCTATTAAAATTTGAAATTGGACCTTTACAAGGTGATTCGGAAACTGTTTTGTATATTGTGTTTTAAGGGACTGGCATGTTATACACACCTGGTTCGAGACAGTAAAACTAATGAGCTTTTAACAACAGCGTTCTGCCATATCACAGTTTTCAGTAATATTGTCCTTTTAGCACTGACAGCTTGCCAGATGCAGATGACTGCAGCCGATATGACACGCCAGATAATGTATATCAAGGGATTTTGTTAAAAAAGGGAGCATCAAAAGTATGTTCCCGGTTTTAAAGGAGAGATTAAGTGATTACACAATGCCCTGGTTACACTATGCCATTTAGAAAGTGGTCAAATGCAACATATGTTATATTTGGGATTAAGTGATCAGTGGTTTAGACCTTACAGTGCAGAAAAGTAAAAGTTAACAAGGTTTTGTCTATAAATGAGGCGTGTGGATCCCGTGTAAGGCATCAACTCATTTAAGTAACTGTCTGTATTGTACACAGACAATATTTGTCAATTCGAGTTCCAGTATTATGCCGCCAATGGCACGCATTTTTGAGAAAGTCCAGATTTCAGAAAAAAATGTGAATGCACCATTAAAGTAATAGACATGTGGTTCTAAAATATTTTAAGAATGCAAGTTTCCATAACAATACCTGCACATTCTTTTTGTGTAACTATCCCATCCATTCCTTCAGCCATAGTGACCGGCAGAACGATTTAGAGGTTGCTCATCCCACTGGGAATGCGATTTTCCCGATATGTACCAGTTTCCAATGACGTGCCTATAAGGAGCGCGTGTAGCAGTGCCCTGGATGTTCTGATCCATTCAGGCGACCGTAACAGTTGGCAGTTGGGCACCAAAGGCAGTCAGAGTTTTGGCATGTCTTATAAGTCTCATCAAACCAGTGTTTCGCCAAAATACCACTAAGGATAAACTTAATGGCTGAAGCGCATACCCATTGTTTCGCGTTCTTGCTTGTTGTTGAAGCTGATTGTATAATCTTTCTCATCTCCCATTTCTTGCATGATTCCTTTCTTGGGGAAAATACACAAATCAGCGCTTTGATACCATCGTATGGCTTGACATCATTTCCTCCTGCATATTCAGAATAAAAAGAATCAGTCCCCGCTGGGTTCATTTGCTGAGTGAAAAAGAAAATCCCCTTTGAAGTAGCTTGGTTGCGGACTTAATGGATAGTCAGATTTTGTCAGTGTAAACTCAAGTTCAGATCCAGACAAAAAGAAAGATTGAATCCCACATTGGCCAACATTTGCAGTTGCTGTCTGTTGTTATACTTTAAACAAGAATGACATTTATATAAACGGACCATTTGTGATGTACATGTGTAAGTTCCAGCCATTTTACTGATGTCGGAACGCCATGACATTTGAACCCAGATGGTCGTTACCCAGTGCTTCTTTGTAGCCAAGTTAGAGTCACTATGAAATATCGGATTGAAATTGGACAGGTATCGTTATGACCTTCGACGTATTTCATGTTGAGAAAGGTCAATGATTGTTGGGCTTCGGAGGTTCGATATATGTCTGAACTACAGAAGATGATAGCATATGTTTGTCAACCAGTCTCAAGGGTCATCAAGAACTCGACGTGGAACTAACACACACTGCGATGTGATTAACAATTGTATAATTAACTAAGGTTACAAGCTGATAGAAATCACTATAAAGGTGATGTAGCTACAGTACCAAATTGAGTGGTAGGACAAATACAAATGCAGTATGATGCAATACCAGTGATTATAGCAATAACGACAGTGATGGTAATATTCAAGCCACTGCAACAATGGTCCAGTTTCAAAGACAGTATTTCCGGGTAAGAAGGAGTTCCATACATTTGCTGGTGTTCTTGTAGCTTGAGATGTAATGAATCATTATCAAAACACGAAATGCCACAGTAAGGCATCTGTTTCGACATCAATGAGCATGTTTATCACTATGTCCCATAAACTATTTATATGTTAACGATAGTTTAAACCTTAATCACATACACACAAATACACCTGCCTAATATTCGGTTGGTTTGTGTTTGTTTAACGCCACACTCAGCAATATTCCAGCTATATGGCGTTGGTCAGTAAATAATCGAATCTGGACCAGACAATCCAATGATCAACAACATGAGGATCGATCTGCGCAATTGGGATACGATGATATGTGTCAATCAAGTCAGCAAGCCTGACCACCCAATCCCGTTAGTCGCCACTTACGACAAGCATGGGTTACTATTGCTCAATTCTAACCTTGATCTTCACAGGTGGAAGATTCACTAACTGCTACATTCCTCACATAAGCTAAACGGTAGAAATGTGTACAGGGCATGAAAAGAAATGAGTATATATCTGCGTACTTTGTGTACCCCTCTGATAAGTGTTAATTGGCACGGCTCCCGCGGCCGAAAGCTATGAAAATACACAATGCCATTTTAGAAAGTGGTCAAATGTAACATATGTATATCCAAGAAAGTTATTCTCATGTATATTTTTTTAACAGTTGTTCAAACATAAATATGTGCAATGATGTACAAATCCTTGCAGTTAGATATAACAATGTGTGAAATTCAATACTGAACAAATTTTATCCAACATAATTATAATCTACTTCAAGCTTACAATCTGAGCTGGGTCATTGTTTTCAGGGGCTGATAGTCAATTTTTGGTGAACGGCACCATTTCGTGAAAAATGGGACCTGCGTAATAAACCTGATTAAAAGTACATTTTAATTTAGATTTGAATATTAAATAGAAACACATCTATACTTAGAGACATGTGCTTTCTAATTTGTGAAAGATCTCCTCTTAGTGATCATTATTTTCCCCCCAAAATAACAAAATATCTGCATTTTGGGGGGAAATTCCTATTTTTTCATACATTTTTCCCAGTTTGTAAAAACTAACCATGCTGAACCCCCAGAAATTACATATCACAATGTGGGAAATTGAATGCTAAACATATCTAACCCACATGTTTATGTCTAATGCTTATAGCTTTAGCTGTAGCATTGTTTTTGTAGACAGATGGTCCAATTCAAGAAAATGGCGGCCATCTTTCAAAATGGCCGCCAAAAACCTATTTAGCTGGGCATGGGAGGTGTCCATCGCGTGATTTCATAAAGTACATACCTTAAGCTATATGAAAATCATAGTGACTGTTTGCCCCTCAATTTGGTAGTCAAATCAATATGTTCAAGGTCTGTCTCAAGGACTATGTGCCTCGCCTTGATGTCACATGCTCTACTTCCAACCAACCTGCCATAATGACGAATATCGTGACGATTCTCCCATCTTAGGTCAATATATATGTAGTTATTCTCAAGTCTTCCCGCTTACCCAGCACCTATTGTTCTAAGGTTCCAGATCACTGAAGCCTTGTAATCCCCAAGAACAAAAGGTGCGTCTGTAATTTAGCTCCTTTCTATCCATCTGTGAGATTTGGTCCCCCAGCAAAAGAGTAAAAGAAGGTGTAAATTCTCACCATTTTATTTACAATTTCATCACAAGGTGACATTGACAAACATTTAAGATATTTACTGGACATTTAGTAAATATATGCTTGTAAATTGACATAAGATTGTCATGTAGTCAGTGGGTAAGCGGGCATGAGCCACATGAGAAATGGGCGTATAGCTAATGGACTAAAACCAGTTTGATACTATGCTTCCACTTGCAATAATTTTAAGCTTTGAAAGTAGATCCTATTTGAACAGAATTAGGACATAACTGGGCGTAATATCTGGAAATTTAATTGTTCTAAAAGACATGTGATCATTTTATCCATATCTATAAATGCGACGATATCCAAACTGGGTCATGCTGACATTGGCTGCCTACAAGTCAGTTTCAATGATCCAAGGGCAGATAAATCAGCTTGGAATTTCTCCTTGTCCCCGTTTTTTATATTTTAAGCAATTGGATGTATTTATGAATAGATTTTAAAAACAGGTGTCTGAGTAACTTTCACGTTCAAATGCCACCCCAACATTCATATCGCAGTTAACCTCTATTACATATAGGTGTAGGCAATACTTGCATTATCCTGACACAAAGCGATTCACACGAAAACTCATAAATCGGACGGATCTACTTGTGAGCAAGCATTGTGCTGAAATTGTTATTCTGCTGTTCATTCGCAAAAAAGAAGTGTTTGACTCTCAGTTATACCGACAGACAAGGCCGCTACAGTATATTTGGTAACTGTCAATATGGCGCCTTTCAAAACCATAAAGCTAGATAAAAATATTTAACTTTCCCACAGTATTCAAAAAAGTTATCTTTTACAGACATGTTGTAATGCGGCAAATGGACCAATGAAAAACGAGGAAACCTGCGCTATAAAAGTGCTACTCATTACCATGTGGTTTACGGACCAGGATTAACCTGTAGACATGGCCACGTTCTGTCTTCTCGCTTTCCTTGTTGCGGCAGGTGAGTTCGGGCCTGTGCTATTTATGGGTTTCAACAAAGAGTCTTTTGGGGACGGTCAGTAAATGGCATTTACAGTAGTCGTGACACGAGTTTAAACGGATTCCGTATTCAGTCAGCTATTGGCAAAATCTACGAACTTGTTGTGCTCAATTTATGTTGATACAACCTTGAATTATGACAAGTTGTTGAGAATTATTTCTCCACTGCCCAAGACATTATGTTTGCAGAGGTGTAATGCGGGTAGACTCGAGTACCAAAAGAATGCGTCTAAACCCTTTCCGTAGGTGAAGGTCCTTATGAGAGGGTACATAAGTCCCCAAACTTTCAAAGTAAATTTAAACTGAACAATATTTTTTTAAACGTAATATTATTGTGATTTTAATTTTGCTAAATTTTCCTGCCATCGCCAGCGTCTGAAGGGATGGTGTTAATCCAACTAGGGTCCATGCAGGTAGTATGGTAGTATGGTGATCTACCTTCAGTTGCTGGCGATCTATAGCCTGTTTTTATATTGTATCGTCTTCCATAGTTACACTGATTTAGATTTAATTACTAGCTTTAACCTTATATCTGTGGTATTCTAGCTGTTTTACCGTCCTTCGTTGACAGGAGTTAATCATTTACTTTTAGTCATTATATATCTACAACTTAATTTAGCCACGATATGGCTGAAATATTGTCGATGTGGCTTAAAATCTAAACTCACCCACTCACTCACTCCATAGGTGAAGGTAATCTCTAGCAAAATCAATTCTCCAAAGACGACTGTATCACGAGCGTGGGCTATTTTTAATCAGTATGAGATAGTGATGCCATAATGGTGAGTGTATCCTGCCCCACCAGTGGCATGTAGATCGAGGCATTTCGTATGCTGAAATTGCAGCATCAGTTCGAAGATACTTTCAGAGACTTGTTTTTCTTCGTTTAATATGTATTGAAGAAAATGTAGCTCTGGGGTGGCTCTCGGAAGCCATAAAGTAGACTCAGCGTTTCAGTCCTAAGCCGAGAAAGGTCATTAAGATGTACACTGATAAACTGACTCGTGTATAGAGTAAAAGGTCAGTGCAAGAGAATCTTCAGAAATGTATGCATTTTGAGCATGGATTTCGTAGATTTTAGGCTTCATGAATTTTATCTTAATAGGTAGTATTGCAAGCTATGCACCCTTCATGTTCCAATTGTGAAACCACATTCGATCATGATCTCTCTTTCTCTCTCTTCAAACAGTTTTCATCTTTACTGTATAAATTGCTTTCTACACGATATGACTGAAATATTGCCGATGTGACATTAAATATCAACTCACTCACTCACCCACTCACTCCTTTTCTTTCTGTCCGCCCGGAGAGCGGAAGGTCGCGGGTTCGGTCCCCGACCGCGTCATACCAAAAAACGTTAAAATATGGTACTTGTTGGTCCCTGCCTGGCGCTCGGCATTAACGGGTACAACAAGGACTGGTCGACTCGGAGTCAGTATAATGTGTCAGTGGGGTATTCATGCTTCACTGCGGCATGGTATCTCAGTGGGCTAGCACTATAAGAAACAGCTTAAGTCTGGGCTAGTACAAGCGGCCGCACATACACATACACACGCATGCACGTCGTCATATTAGCGAAATATTCTCAAGCACGACGTTAAACTCAATTTCACTTCACCCCACTTCACCTTTTTTTTCTTTTTCGCCCTCTCTCACGCTGTACACCCATCATGTTCCAATTGTGAAACCAGACTTTCCCATGACCTCTCTTTCTCTTTATCTTTCTCTCTCTCACGCTGTACACCCTACATGTTCCAGTTGTGAAACCAGACTTTCCCATGACCTCTCTTTCTCTTTATCTTTCTCTCTCTCACGCTGTACACCCTTCATGCAATTGTACACCCTACATGTTCCACATGTTGTGTCAAACCAGACTTTCCCATGACCTCTCTTTCTCTTTATCTTTCTCTCTCTCACGCTGTACACCCTTCATGTTCCATTGTGAAACCAGACTTTCCCATGACCTCTCTTTCTCTTTATCTTTCTCTCTCTCACGCTGTACACCCTACATGTTCCAGTTGTCAAACCAGACTTTCCCATGACCTCTCTTTCTCTTTATATTTCTCTCTCTCACGCTGTACACCCTTCATGTTCCTTTGAAACCAGACTTTCCCATGACCTCTCTTTCTCTTTATCTTTCTCTCTCTCACGCTGTACACCCTACATGTTCCAGTTGTGAAACCAGACTTTCCCATGACCTCTCTTTCTCTTTATCTTTCTCTCTCTCACGCTGTACACCCTTCATGTTCCAATTGTGAAACCAGACTTTCCCATGACCTCTCTTTCTCTTTATCTTTCTCTCTCTCACGCTGTACACCCTACATGTTCCAGTTGTCAAACCAGATTTTCCCATGACCTCTCTTTCTCTTTCTCTTTCTCTGTCTCACGCTGTACACCCTTCATGTTCCAATTGTGAAACCAGACTTTCCCATGACCTCTCTTTCTCTTTATCTCTCTCTCTCTCACGCTGTACACCCTTCATGTTCCAATTGTGAAACCAGACTTTCCCATGACCTCTCTTTCTCTTTATATTTCTCTCTCTCACGCTATACACCCTACATGTTCCAATTGTGAAACCAGACTTTCCCATGACCTCTCTTTCTCTTTATATTTCTCTCTCTCACGCTGTACACCCTTCATGTTCCAATTGTGAAACCAGAGTTTCCCATGACCTCTCTTTCTCTTTATCTTTCTCTCTCTCACGCTGTACACCCTTCATGTTCCAATTGTGAAACCAGACTTTCCCATGACCTCTCTTTCTCTTTCTCTCTCTCACGCTGTACACCCTTCATGTTCCAATTGTGAAACCAGACTTTTCCAAGACCTCTCTTTCTCTTTATATTTCTCTCTCTCACGCTGTACACCCTTCATGTTCCAATTGTGAAACCAGATTTTCCCATGACCTCTCTTTCTCTTTATCTTTCTCTCTCTCACGCTGTACACCCTACATGTACCAATTGTGAAACCAGACTTTCCCATGACCTCTCTTTCTCTCTCTCACGCTGTACACCCTTCATGTTCCAATTGTGAAACCAGACTTTCCCAAGACCTCTCTTTCTCTTTATCTTTCTCTCTCTCTCACGCTGTACACCCTACATGTTCCAGTTGTGAAACCAGACTCACTCATGATCTCTTTCTTTCTTTCTTTCACTTTCTCTCTCTCTCTCTCTCTCTCTCTATCTCTCACACACATACACACATCGGAATGCTTTTCGTTTGACAACCGAAGAATTAGGCAGATGCATAGTATGTCTGAAGCTGGTTCAACGTCAGTGTCAGCCAAAGCGTGATCAGCAGGGAATGAACTCGACAGCAGAGGTTTGGATCTGCTAGCCAGCGACATGCTCGCCGTCGACAATGTTCTGTGATACATATATAATGACCTGCGGAACGTCAGCAACGTTGACGTTTCTACACAGATATTAGAAATCTCCTTGTGTCTAGACCTGTCTCAGTGGGCATGTACCGACGTCCCAGGCAGGCAGGTATTGGTTGGGCTCAAGATCACTTCAATCAAACAGACCTGGACTTTCATTATTGGAAGCTCATACAACCTTCATGTTTCATTTGTGAAACCAGCCTCATTTTCGTAAGGGCTTTCTGGTTACAGATGGACGGCCACTTCGGGAACGGTCTGCAACGACGGCGTTTTGTTGATAACGTCTCCACGAGCAGCATATGGTGTTCCTGTGCGCGTTAGGCTGCTGTGCAACGTTGCGCTGGGGTGTTCCGGTTTCAATCATGGCTCGCCACCTTTCATTTTCAGTTAGCCGTGGCGTAGAGAAATGCATGCAGATGCCTCCAAATTTGTGTTTTTCGGACCCATCGACGTCCAAACAATAATTTGGGTGACAATGATTGGAGTCACACTTTTTAAAGGGCACGTTTTATGCCTTTTCCCCACAGACTTCTTGAAAGCACGAAAAACGCATGCAAAACAAAAACTACCAACAGGACCCTGTTTGGGTTATGGATTAAGTGTATTATAAACAATATTAAAATGCGTCATATAAATGTTCTCACTTATATAAACAAATGTGTTGATTACACTAACTTTTGCCTTTGAGTATATAATTTTACCTTGACACAAAACTACTCAGTGACAGATTACCTTTTACAAACTAATGCAAGACTTACATGTAAAGATGGTTAAATAGACATAATCAATTTTGACAGCAGAACTGTCATGTACATAACAAACTCGGAATGCTCCATCCTCCCATCAGTTTACATTAAGACTTTAAATAGAATACAGAAACCTGACTTTTTAATCTGTTCCACAAATGTGGAATATAGGTCAAATTACATGATGTGCGTTACATGCAGGATATGAAACTCGCTTAACTGAGTCTACTATCTTTACAGCATCCGCCGCCCCCTCAACATTGGACATTAACGCCTCCGGTTGCGGCGGAAACCTCGTCGGTTACAAGTACCCCGCCAAATACATTGTAGGGGGCGAAGAGGCTACGCCTAACGCTTACCCATGGATGGTGAGTGTTAGAATTGACAAACATTAAACTGGAAGTTCGTTACTACCATTCACTACTTCTTCTTCTTGCGTGTCTCAAATCAGACTCCGTTCGTTAACAAAGTTATGATTACATTCACAAGCACCGACATATTGGAAAGGGCAAGTTATATGTAGGTCTGGATATACAGTTATAAACAGCTTGTTTATGGGAGAAAACCCCGAAATGTTAAATATTTACCACTTTAGTGAAACCAAAACAAACTGAGGACGAATCTGGAATGGAGACTTGCATTCATAGCAGCAACTATGTTTCTAAAAACACGATGTTGAAATAAACAAGTTATGCACAGCCAAATGTGGCTTATAATATACCTGATAAGTATGTGTAAATGTCTCAGAGTAAACAAATATCAAATGGTCGGTGGTGATAACAAAGAGATGAGATTTGTCAGATCCAAGCACGTAGCACGTAAAGGGGGCTTAACTCTGATCAGAGAAAGAGCCAAAGACTGCTACCGATGGAGAGGTGAAAAGGAAATTTGTTAATCAACGTTGTGGTTATCTTGCAGGCTGCTATGTACTATCGCGGATCCTTCCGATGTGGCGGTTCCCTCATCAGGGGAAACAACGGAAGGAGTTACATCCTCACAGCAGCTCACTGCACAGTGTAAGGAGCCGTGGCGGAACTTGCGCGGGAATGATTAAATATTAATCCTAAATGTTCATCCAACGCCACTTGTTTTGCACATGTCGAGAGAGTTACAGGTGAAGTGGTACTACTAGTAGTTGTATGAACATGTTACATGTTAGATGCCAGGGAAATGTGCATAGGTATGCAAGGGAGATAATGTGATCCGATACGTTGTATATTGGCAATCAAGTACCAACTATTGCTGTGTTAGTATTGTTGCCGTTGGAACTAAGGGAGACTTTTCCTGAAGTCGAGAAAGAATGTTGTGATACAAGGCAGATCACCAATGAGAATTTCCATCTGCATTGACCAGGTAGTTTCGGAAAGGCAGGACCAGATGAGCTAGTCGTAACTAAGAAATCATTATATTTGTTTAATATTCCTACAGGAACACCAACGCCAATCAGTGGGAAATGCGTCTTGGTCGCCATAACCTTGCCGCCTCTGAGTCCAGCACACAGCAGCACATCAACGTAGACCAGGTCATCAATAACCCTTCCTACAGCTCCAGCACCTATAACTGGGATATTTCCCTGTTGAGATTGTCCAGCAACCCGACTGACACAGCATACGTGAGGCCTGGGTGTTTCCCGATTGGTGACATTAGTTCTGGGGAGAATTCCTTCGTCATCGGCTGGGGCGCCCTCTCAGAGGGTAGGTTATCGATTCCACAGATATGACAAGTGATTGTTGTGAATGTAGCTACTTCATCTCGTGTGTTTGAAGGTGCTAAGCTATACATATTCAGGAGTTTCACTAATATAAATGTATGCAGGTTGTCCAGCAATAAGGATCTGTCCGTTGTGCTGGTTGTTTTGTACCAGACAGAACACAGACTGTTAACAAACAAAGTGTACATCCATGTGCAGTGGTTTAAATAACCACGTATATACATTACATACAGTTTTCCCAGAAATTATTGAGAAAACCTTTGTTTCCTAATGCTGAACAACGAGGACAGTTCAATGCTTATACAAGTTCTTTAATATATGAGCGACGTTTCGGTGTAGCTACTAACACCGTTATCAAACAAGTGATGTTCAATACAGAAGGCAAGGCTATATATACATAGTAAAGTTTGAACAGTAAGTTGATTGATGTTTGCACAATTAATGAGGTCTATGTACAATTTGGAGGATACAGGCAGTTCACTATCCAGGTTCATACGATATATACCAGCTTCATACGTTATGTACAGGCGGTTCACTGACCAGGTCTTTGCGTTATATACAGACAGTTCACTAACCAGGTCTTTGCGTTATATACAGGCAGTTCACTAACCAGGCTCATGCGTTTTATTCAGACAGTTCGCTAACCAGGTCAATGCGTTAAATACAGACAGTTCACTAACCAGGTCCATGCATTATATGCAGACAGTTCGCTAACCATGTTCATGCGTTATGTACAGACAGTTCACTAACTAGGTCCATGCATTATACACAGATAATTCACTGACCAGGTCCATGAGTTACATGCTGTCAGTTCACTAACCACGTCCATCCGTTATATACAGACAGTTCACTATCCAGGTTCATGGGTTATAGACAGACAGTTCACTAACCAGGTTCATATGTTATAGACAGGCAGTTCAGTAACCAGATCCATGTGTTTTATACAGTAAGTTCACTAACCAGGACCATGCATTTTAAACAGACAGATCACTAACGGAGTCCATGCGTTATATACAGACAGTTCACTAACCAGGTCCATGCATTATATACAGACAGTTCAGTACAGGTCTATGCATTATATACAGACATACAGACAGTTCACTGATCAGGTCCATGCGTTATGTGCAGACAGTTCACTGACGAGGTTCATGCGTTATATGCAGACAGTTCACTAACCAGGTCGTTGCATTATATACAGACAGTTCACTAACCAGGTCCATGCGTTATATGCAGACAGTTCACTAACCAGGTTCGTTTTATGCGTTTTATTCAGACAGTTCGCTAACCAGGTCCATGCGTTATATCCAGACAGTTCACTAACCACCATGCGTTTTATTCAGACAGTCCATGCGTTATATGCAGACAGTTCACTAACCAGGTCCTTGCATTATATACAGACAGTTCACTAACCAGGTCCATGCGTTATATACATACAGACAGACAGTTCACTAACCAGGTCCATGCATTATATACAGACAGTTCACTAACCAGGTCCATGCGTTATATGCAGACAGTTCACTAACAGTTCACTAACTAGGTCCATGCATTATATACAGACAGTTCACTAACCAGGTCCATGCGTTATATACAGACAGTTCACTAACCAGGCTCATGCGTTTTATTCAGACAGTTCACTAACCAGGTCCATGCGTTATATGCAGACAGTTCACTAACCAGGCTCATCCATGCGTTATATGCAGACAGTTCACTAACCAGGTCCATGCGTTATATACAGACAGTTCACTAACCAGGCTCATGCGTTTTATTCAGACAGTTCGCTAACCAGGTCCATGCGTTATATCCAGACAGTTCACTAACCAGGTTCATGCGTTATATCCAGACAGTTCACTAACCAGGTCCATGCGTTATATACAGACAGTTCACTAACCAGGTCCATGCGTTATATACAGACAGTTCACTAAACAGGTTCACTAACCAGGTCCATGCGTTATATACAGGTTCACTAACCAGTTCACTAACCACGTCCATACGTTATATACAGATAGTTCACTAACCAGGTTCATGCATTATATAGAGTCTGTTCAGTGACCAGCTTCACACATTATATGGAGCCAGTTCACTAACCAGGTCCATGCGTTATATACAGACAGATCACTAACCAAGCCCATGCGTTATATACAGACAGTTCACTAACCAGGTTCATGCGTTATATACAGCAGGTTCACTAACCAGGTTCATGTATTTATGGAGTCAGTTCACTAACCAGGTCCATGAATTATATGGTGTCAGTTCACTAACCAGGTCCATGTGTTATATGGAGACAGTTCACTAACCGGGTCCATGTGTTATATACAGGAGGTTCACTGACCAGATTCATACTTTATGTATAGCCACTTCACTAAACATTTCCATATGTTACATACAGGCAGTTCACTAAACTTTGTTTATACGTTACATACAGGAAGTTCCCAAAACCTTGTTTATACGTTACATACAGGCAGTTCAGTAAACCTTGTTTATACGTTACATACAGGAAGTTCATCAAACATGTCCATACGTTACATACAGGCAGTTCACCAAATATATCCATACGTTACATACAGGCAGTTCACCAAACATGTGCATACGTTACATACAGGCAGTTCACCAAACATGTCCATACGTTACATACAGGAAGTTCACCAAATATGTCCATACGTTACATAAAGGAAGTTCACCAAATATGTCCATACGTTACATAAAGGAAGTTCACCAAACATGTCCATACGTTACATACAGGCAGTTGATTAAACATGTCCATACGTTACATACAGGAAGTTCATCAAACATGTCCATACGTTACATACAGGAAGTTCACCAAACATGTCCATACGTTACATACAGGCAGTTGATTAAACTTGTCCATACGTTACATACAGGCAGTTCACCAAATATATCCATACGTTACATACAGGCAGTTGATCAAATATATCCATACGTTACATACAGGCAGTTCACTAAACATGTCCATACGTTACATACAGGCAGTTCACCAAACATGTCCATACGTTACATACAGGCAGTTCACCAAACATGTCCATACGTTACATACAGGCAGTTCCATAAACATGTCCATACGTTACATACAGGCAGTTGACCAAATATATCGATACAGGACATACAGGCAGTTGATCAAAAATATCCATACATTACATACAGGCAGTTGACTAAACATGTCCATACGTTACATACAGGCAGTTCACCAAATATGTCCATACGTTACATACAGGCAGTTCACCAAACATGTCCATACGTTACATACAGGCAGTTCCATAAACATGTCCATACGTTACATACAGGAAGTTCACCAAACATGTCCATACGTTACATACAGGCAGCTCCATAAACATGTCCATACGTTACATACAGGAAGTTCACTAACACATACGTTTGTTCAGGACAGTTCACCAAACATGTCCATACGTTACATACAGGCAGTTGATTAAACATGTCCATACGTTACATACAGGCAGTTCACCAAACATGTCCATACGTTACATACAGGGAGTTCACCAAACATGTCCATACATTACATACAGGAAGTACACCAAACATGTCCATACGTTACATACAGGAAGTTCACCAAACATGTTTATACGTTACATACAGGCACTTCACCAAACATGTTTATACGTTACATACAGGCAGTTCACTAAACTTTGTTTATACGTTACATACAGGCAGTTCCCAAAACCTTGTTTATACGTTAAATACAGGCAGTTCACTAAACCTTGTTTATACGTTACATACAGGAAGTTCACCAAATATATCCATACGTTACATACAGGCAGTTCACCAAATATGTCCATACGTTACATAAAGGAAGTTCACCAAATATGTCCATACGTTACATAAAGGAAGTTCACCAAACATGTCCATACGTTACATACAGGCAGTTGATTAAACATGTCCATACGTTACATACAGGAAGTTCACCAAACATGTCCATACGTTACATACAGGAAGTTCACCAAACATGTCCATACGTTACATACAGGAAGTTCATCAAACATGTCCATACGTTACATACAGGCAGTTCACCAAACATGTCCATATGTTACATACAGGCAGTTGATTAAACATGTCCATACGTTACATACAGACAGTTGGCCAAATATATCCATACGTTACATGCAGGAAGTTCATCAAACATGTCCATACGTTACATACAGGCAGTTGACCAAATATATCCATACGTTACATACAGGCAATTCACCAACCATGTCCATACGTTACATACAGGACGTTAACCAAATATGTTCCTACGTTACATACAGGTAGTTCACTAAACATGTCCATACGTTACATACAGGCAGTTCATCAAACATGTCCATACGTTACATACAGGCAGTTCACCAAACATATGCATACGTTACATACAGGCAGTTGATTAAACATGTCCATACGTTACATACAGGCAGTTCACCAAATATGTCCATACGTTACATACAGGACGTTCACCAAATATGTCCATACGTTACATACAGGCAGTTCACTAAACATGTCCATACGTTACATACAGGCAGTTCATCAAACATGTCCATACGTTACATACAGGAAGTTCACCAAACATGTCCATACGTTACATACAGGAAGTTCACCAAACATGTCCATACGTTACATACAGGCAGTTCATCAAACATGTCCATACGTTACATACAGGAAGTTCACCAAACATGTCCATACGTTACATACAGGAAGTTCACCAAACATGTCCATACGTTACATACAGGCAGTTGATTAAACATGTCCATACGTTACATACAGGAAGTTCACCAAACATGTCCATACGTTACATACAGGCAGTTGATTAAACATGTCCATACGTTACATACAGGCAGTTCACTAAACATGTCCATACGTTACATACAGGCAGTTGATTAAGCATGTCCATACGTTACATACAGGGAGTTCACTAACACAGCTTACGTGTTTGTTCAGGAGGTTCACCAAACATGTCCATACGTTATATACAGGCAGTTCACTAAACATGTCCATACGTTACATACAGGCAGTTGATTAAACATGTCCATACGTTACATACAGGGAGTTGATTAAATATGTCCATACGTTACATACAGGGAGTTCACCAAACATGTCAATACATTACATACAGGAAGTACACCAAACATGTCCATACGTTACATACAGGAAGTTCACCAAACATGTTTATACGTTACATACAGGCACTTCACCAAACATGTTTATACGTTACATACAGGCAGTTCACTAAACTTTGTTTATACGTTACATACAGGCAGTTCCCAAAACCTTGTTTATACGTTAAATACAGGCAGTTCACTAAACCTTGTTTATACGTTACATACAGGAAGTTCACCAAACATGTCCATACGTTACATACAGGCAGTTCACCAAACATGTCCATACGTTACATACAGGCAGTTCACCAAATATGTCCATACGTTACATACAGGCAGTCCACCAAATATGTCCATACGTTACTTACAGGCAGTTCACCAAATATGTCCAGTACGTTACATACAGGCAGTTCACCAAATATATCCATACGTTACATACAGGCAGTTCACCAAATATGTCCATACGTTACATACAGGAAGTTCACCAAATATATCCATACGTTACATACAGGCAGTTCACCAAACATGTCCATACGTTACATACAGGCAGTTCACCAAACATGTCCATACGTTACATACAGGCAGTTCATCAAACATGTCTATATGTTACATACAGGCAGTTACATACAGGCAGTTACATACAGGCAGTCCACATGTACATACAGGAAGTTCATCAAACATGTTACATACACAGGCAGTTGACCAAATACATCCATACGTTACATACAGGCAGTTCACCAAATATGTCCATACGTTACATACAGGCAGTTGACCAAATATATCCATACTGTTACATACAGGCAGTTCACCAAACATGTCCATACGTTACATACAGGAAGTTCACCAAACATGTCCATACGTTACATACAGGCAGTTCACCAAACATGTCCATACGTTACATACAGGCAGTTCATAAACATGTCCATACGTTACATACAGGCAGTTCACCAAACATGTCCATACGTTACATACAGGCAGTTCACCAAACATGTCCATACGTTACATACAGGCAGTTCACCAAACATGTCCATACGTTACATACAGGCAGTTCACCAAACATGTCCATACGTTACATACAGGCAGTTCACCAAACATGTCCATACGTTACATACAGGCAGTTCACCAAACATGTCCATACGTTACATACAGGCAGTTCACCAAACATGTCCATACGTTACATACAGGAAGTTCACCAAACATGTTTATACGTTACATACAGGCAGTTGATCAAACATGTCCATACGTTACATACAGGCAGTTCACCAAACATGTCCATACGTTACATACAGGCAGTTCACCAAACATGTCCATACGTTACATACAGGCAGTTCACCAAACATGTCCATACGTTACATACAGGCAGTTCACCAAACATGTCCATACGTTACATACAGGCAGTTCACCAAACATGTCCATACGTTACATACAGGCAGTTCACCAAACATGTCCATACGTTACATACAGGCAGTTCACCAAACATGTCCATACGTTACATACAGGCAGTTCACTAAACTTGTTTATACGTTACATACAGTTCACCAAACATGTCCATACGTTACATACAGGCAGTTCACCAAATATATCCATACGTTACATACAGGCAGTTCACCAAATATGTACGTTATCAGGCAGTTCACCAAATATGTCCATACGTTACATACAGGCAGTTCACCAAATATATCCATACGTTACATACAAGCAGTTCACCAAATATATCCATACGTTACATACAGGCAGTTCACCAAATATGTCCAGTACGTTACATACAGGAAATTCACCAAATATATCCGTACGTTACATAGAGGCAGTTCACCAAATATGTCCATACGTTACATACAGGAAGTTCACCAAATATGTCCAGTACGTTACATACAGGCAGTTCACCAAACATGTCCATATGTTACATACAGGCAGTTGATTAAACATGTCCATACGTTACATACAGACAGTTGGCCAAATATATCCATACGTTACATGCAGGAAGTTCATCAAACATGTCCATACGTTACATACAGGCAGTTGACCAAGTATATCCATACGTTACATACAGGCAATTCACCAACCATGTCCATACGTTACATACAGGACGTTAACCAAATATGTTCCTACGTTACATACAGGTAGTTCACTAAACATGTCCAGACGTTACATAAAGGCAGTTGATTAAACATGTCCTTTCGTTACATACAGGCAATTCCACAACCATGTCCATACGTTACATACAGGACGTTCACCAAATATGTCCATACGTTACATACAGGCAGTTCACTAAACATGTCCATACGTTACATACAGGCAGTTCATCGAACATGTCCATACGTTACATACAGGAAGTTCACCAAACATGTCCATACGTTACATACAGCCAGTTGATTAAACATGTCCTTACGTTACATACAGGAAGTTCATCAAACATGTCCATACGTTACATACTGGCAGTTGACCAAACATGTCCATACGTTACATACAGGCAGTTGATGAAACATGTCCTTACGTTACATACAGGCAGTTGACCAAACATGTCCATACGTTACATACAGGCAGTTGATGAAACATGTCCTTACGTTACATACTGGCAGTTGACCAAACATGTCCATACGTTACATACAGGAAGTTCACCAAACATGTCCATACGTTACATACAGGCAGTTCACCAAACATGTCCATACGTTACATACAGGAAGTTCACCAAACATGTCCATACGTTACATACTGGCAGTTGACCAAACATGTCCATACGTTACATACAGGCAGTTCACCAAACATGTCCATACGTTACATACAGGCAGTTCACCAAATATATCCATACGTTACATACAGGAAGTTCACCAAACATGTCCATACGTTACATACAGGCAGTTCACCAAATATATCCATACGTTACATACAGGCAGTTCACCAAACATGTCCATACGTTACATACAGGCAGCTCCATAAACATGTCCATACGTTACATACAGGCAGTTCATCAAACATGTCCATACGTTACATAAAGGAAGTTCACCAAACATGTCCATACGTTACATACAGGCAGTTGATTAAATATGTCCATACGTTACATACAGGAAGTTCATCAAACATGTCCATACGTTACATACAGGAAGTTCACCAAACATGTCCATACGTTACATACAGGCAGTTGATTAAACTTGTCCATACGTTACATACAGGCAGTTGACCAAATATATCCATACGTTACATACAGGCAGTTGACCAAATATATCCATACGTTACATACAGGAAGTTCACCAAATATATCCATACGTTACATACAGGCAGTTCACCAAACATGTCCATACGTTACATACAGGCAGTTCACGAAACGTGTTCATACGTTACATACAGGCAGTTGACCAAATATATCGATACAGGACATACAGGCAGTTGATCAAATATATCCATACATTACATACAGGCTGTTGACTAAACATGTCCATACGTTACATACAGGCAGTACACCAAATATGTCCATACGTTACATTCAGAAAGTTCACCAAACATGTCCATACGTTTACATACAGGCAGTTCACTAACCAGGTTCATACGTTATACACAGACAGTTCACCAACACAGCTTACGTGTTTGTTCAGGCGGTTCCTCACCAAGCAGGCTTCAGGTTGTAAATAAGCCTATCCTCAGCCACCAGACTTGCAGAGACCAACTTGGATCCAACAGCTACTACGAGAGCAACATGCTGTGTGCCGGTTTTGATGCCGGCGGCTCCGATGCCTGTCAGGTAACACTGTGTACCACTTCTTGAACAACAACAGTGTATGTGAATACCGGTTCTTTAACAACAACAGTGTATGTGAATACCAGTTCTTGTACAATAGCCGAGTATGTGTAGACCAGTTCTTGAACAATAGCCGAGTATGTGAATACCAGTTCTTGAACAGTTACTGGGTATATGCATTCTAGTTCCTAAACAACAACAGTGTATGTGAATCAGTGTCAGTTGAGTTACTATGGTCTTAGCACCAAAATCTTTAACGGTCTCTATAGTCGTCATAAGTTTGGATGCTTATTTTGTAAATGTTCCTGGAACACAAGCCGGTACATGTATACACACAGCTTGTTTTTGTTGGACAGGGAGACAGCGGTGGTCCTTTGATGGCGATCCGTGGAGGGAGAGTCGAGATCGTTGGTGAGTAAAAAAGAGATGACCGTCCATCGACCTTTGTTGATTTTGAAATCTATTTCTATGCAACTGACCCCAGTACAGCCGTTCAGGAATATTTAGAAGTCTAGTCACAAGAGTGATTTGGTAAGCAGAAATGGTAAGTGTGGGAGAAGATGGGAATGGGGCACCTCGGGATTTTGTTTGAGAACATAATTATTTAATTAAAACTATGACCCTAGTAGCCAGCCCTAGTAGACATCCCCACCCCACCCCGCCCCGCTCACCAGAATTGCCTCCACATACCTTAACCAAATGTCACTATTTACCAAATCGAAATTTATTGTTTTGAGTGGAACTGTTGACCGTACAATATAACACTGCTATCTGGCCCTGAAAAATGTCCACATCTCTCCTCCAGGTGTCGTAAGCTGGGGCTACGGTTGCGCCAGACCCGAGCGTCCAGGTGTGTATTCCAACTCTGTCAAGTCAAAGTCCTGGGTGAACGGCATCATCAACAACTAGAACCCCACTATTGTCAAAGATCATAAAATATCAACTTCCGTTAACCAGTAGTTGTTCTTGATTGTTGTACGTACCCGGGCGTTATACATATACAGGGCCCAGGGTATAAGTTGCCGTATGTGCGTACTGGATATTGAATATTGGAAGTGAATAATATGATTTCACCGCGGTCAACAACGTTACAGCACCATAATAAAAGATAGCAGCAACAAAACCCTTTCCATAGCCACAAGAGACAACTGCTAGAAGCTGAGTCGAGGGTACGATTCCGACTGTATCATAAGCAAGTTTTCAGGAAATCACTATCAAGTAGTGATTGATATTAACAGGTGTGGCACCCGTCACAAAGTCATGTTAAGGAACGTCATTTGTTCTCCCGATAAAACATCGGGACATGCAGTATAGAATCAAATTTGAAAGAGGCCTTTAAGTCTAGTAAAATAAGTGGAAACTTTATTTTGGCCTTGAACATTGTAACGTACATAAAACAATTTTTGAGCAAGAGTACCTACTGCAAGTATCACAAGGAAAATACACAAGTTGCACATAAATACACACAGACATAAACCAGTACTTTACCAAACCGCTGCACCCATACACAATGGTACACCACTGCATACCAGCATATCACAATGTACTACTACTACTAATGATGTGTACTGATGTAATTATGGAAAATACACATATCTAAACTTTCAATCATTTAGATTTTATGAAGTGGCAAATATTACGGAATTGCAGTTGTTACACGATCATATCCTTTTATGTAGTGGTACACAGCATGACGAAGACTTCAGTGGTTACAGCATCAAAGTCATATCCTAAGAGGTATATGTTGTTAGGAAGACTGCAATACTTACAACATTAAAAGAAGTGAGTGAGTGAGTGACATTTAACGTCGACAGTAGTTTAGCCATTTTGAGACTTTGTCAAGTTATACAATATGAGTTTAAAAACTACTATCGAAGGAAAGAATAACAACTAACAATATATGACATATTGCTTTAAAACTAGTCATGAAACATTTAAACGCGTCTGACTCTTTGGCTGTACCCTCGGAGGGAGTTCAAGTAGCGTAAAATAATTGTCCTCCAAAGAGTGAGTGAGTGAGTTTAAGTCTACGCCGCACTCAGAAATATTCCAGCTATATGGCGTCGGTCTGTAAATAATCAAGTCTGGGCCAGACAATCCAGGTATCAGCAGCGTTAGCATCGATCTGTACAATTGGGAACCGATGACATGTGTAAACCAAGACAGCGAGCCTGACCACCCGATCCCGTAAGTCGCCTCTTACGCCGGCATGGGTTACTGAACGGTCATTCTAACCCGGACCTTCACGGGTCCCACCGAAGAGGGTATTTAAGACCACATAATTCAATGTATGTTGATCATTGCCAGAATTGTAATCATAGAATGTTTGTAGTGTTAATATATATAGCTAAATTGCTGAAAATTAGCCAAAAGCTGAAGGGATGATATAAATCCAGTTAGGGTCCATGCAGGTTTCAAAAGTAATGTAAGTCCCCATGGTCCCTAGCATGGTAATCTGCCTTCAGTTGCTGGCGATCTATAGCCCGATTTTATATTGTGTTGTTTTGAATGATTTACCATTTTACACTGAACTCAAACTAGTTTGAATTAATTTGTGATAATCTAGTCGTTATACTGTTCTTCGCTGACAGGTTTTTAAAAATGTATACATATATCTATTCTTAGTATATAACTATTTGTCGTCACGATCAGGCTATAATATTGCCGATGTAACGTAATATTTTACTATAAGGCCATATTACTTGAGGCCATATTCTGGACCATGGGGCTTACGGTACCTCGGCCACTTGCATGGTTCCCTTGTCGGATGTACACCTTGCACTAGTTCCTGGCGATTGCCACAGGTTTTGACTGAGATTAAGAGTGTCCAATACGACATCGTCGCATGGTGATCCTTTCAAATCTTGTCTTGACAACCCAAGTAGGTGTAACCGATAGCTGGTTTAATTGCATGTAACGTTTAATTGCACCTACCTGGGTGTCGCACTGGTTTTGCATCAGACCACGGATGTAACATCTGATTAGAGGCTTATATTCACTGTAGGGCATAAGAAGTCGTGTCACAGATTTGTTGAGTGCTGCTTTTGCATCAGTATGAGCCATTCTGTTACCAGTGATTCAAACGTGGTTGGGTAACCAACAAAAGCGATGTCGTATTGGGCAATAGCATCATCATTATAAAATTCTCTGATTTTCGTAAAAATCGATGCTGGCAAGCTTGAAGATAGAAGAGAGTATCCGAAAATATTAAATAACTGTTTATATTTAGATCGAGCATTTATATATTTAAGAGCTCTTAATATGGCTTTTGATTCTGCTGTAAAATTTGGTAACCTGGATGGCTTGGTTTTGATCCAATGACAATAGCACTAGCGACTGCGTTACCATCTTGGGATCCATCAGTGAATAAAGATGTGTAAGTCGTGTAATATTTGTAATTGGGGATATTCATGCTGGTACTTCAGTCCATTTGTGTCTGATTGCTTTAGTTTTGTTAATGAACGTTTCATCCGAGCCTTTACCATTTGCCATGGAAGAGAAGACAGTATTTGGTACAGAAATGTTCTTCAGGTCAATTTTAGCAGAAGAAATGTCAGGCTGTATTTTTATTCTTGGAGACCCGTGAAGATCCGGGTTAGAGAGAGTGAGTTAAAATTAAAGTCACATCGGCAGTATTTCAGTCATATCGAGACTAGGAAAGTTGTAAATTTATAAATGAACGTTAGATATTATACTTACCTGTTAGCAAAGGACAGTTAAAAACTAGATTATCACAGAAATAAATTTATAACTAGTATTTAAATCTAAAATATTTTAACTATAAATGACAATACAATATAAAAACAGGTTATAGACTGCCAACCACTGAAGGTAGATCACCATACTAGGGACCATGGGAACTTTTGTTTTGGGACTTACGTACCCTCTCAGGGGGGCAATAATTTTACAGTAATTAACCCCCTTTGAGGATACTGTAATTAACAATCTCAGTTGATATCTATTTACTAATCATTTAACAAATCAAGTGACAAGTGTGACAAGTTTATTCTGTGTAGAGGCCTCAAGGCCAACAGCACACATACAGAATAACGGTTGCGCATACAAAAAGTTTCGGATACATAATTAAGTAGGTAGGTTTCTCTTAAGGAATATAGCAAGGTTTTTAACATGTTTCACATTGTGTGCTGACAAGAGTTGGTATAACTTATTCTTAGAGGGGAATTTGTGATAGAAACGGGGTATATGCTGCTCCCTCAAAACTTTATAACATGGACAAGATAATATCAGGTGGAATTGATCTTCTATAATATTCATGTTACATTTAGAACAAATATGTTGATTACATTGAATGTCCTTATATCTCAATTTACCCACTTTTAACTTGTTAGACTGGACACGTAGTTTACAGTACATACGGAGTAAATCTTTGTGGCTGAACTATTGTAGTACATATTCCTCTGTATCTAACAGAGATTTAAAGTAAAATAAGAAACCATTCCGACCTGATAGCTTATCATGCCATTTTTGAAATTGAATGTCTACACATCTTTGGGAAAAACATACTCATAAATATTTTATAATCACCAAAATCCTGTGCAATCGATAGGAAAATTCTGCTGAAAATAAAAGTCTGCAAAGTCCAGTTACCCAATTTATCTTTCCATTGTTATCAAAGATCTTTGACTCATCATAGCAAGCTTTGGGGTATCGCCCTCAATGCATACATAAAGGTCTGCACCATTAGCTGACACATCGACTGAAATATTTAACACAAACTGGATGCCTCCCTACATCTATTAACACCATACGAGTTGGGGTGAATTTTGATACATTTAAACATCTACTCTGTACTCTTTCAATATTACTTCTGTACGAGAAAGCCCATATTTCAGCCCCGTACAATAGAATAGGCATCATCTATGTATCAAATATTTTTACAGCTACTTTAAATGGAAGAGCAGGATATACTTTCATCAATCTATTAATAGGAACAGAGCTTTTCTAGCCTGTAACGAGAGGGTCTCGCATACTCTGGACCAAATTTAAGATAATACCAAGGTACTTATAATACGTTACAACCTGAACCTCTTTGCCTGAATGAAACCACATTTTTACACCCTTTAAGTAACACCCATTCCTAAAAACAATAATATTTGATTTATCAAGGTTAACTTCTAAGCCCAACTTCACACAATAATCATATAAAAAATCTATTTTTTCTAACCAACTACGGAATCGTCCACTAATGCAACATCATCAGCGAATAACAGTAGCAAAAATTGTCTATTTCTTCTGTAACAAAAATCCCTCTTAAGGTACAATTTGTAAAATCTAGTGCTAATTCATTTATAAATAGAGTAAACAGAACTGGACTTAACATACATCCCTGACGGACACCACAGGTAGTATTACATGTTTCTGATTTATTACTCAAACAAATACAAGCTTTCATTTTATTATACATTATACATACTTTTGTCTATCAACACAGTCGAAAGCTTTACGAAAATCTATAAAACTACATAGAGCCTATGTCCTGAGTTTTGACATAACGATTGCAGAACAAATATATTATCTACTGTGGAATAACCGTTCCTAAATCCAGCTTGCGATTCATGAATAATAGAATTTGTAACCAACCAAATCCTCAAACGTAGTTCCAACACAGACGTAAACACTTTACCCAATATGTTAAGGAGTGATATTCCACGATAATTATTTGGGTCTGTTACATCACCCTTCTTGAATAAAGGCAAGAGCTTGCCAACATTCCAGGGTCCAGGGAATTGTCCTTTGTCTAAAATGGCATTGAACAAAACTTCTAGAATAGGAATAATAAACGAAGCCTTTTTGTAAAACTCAGGAGGAATCCCATCCGGTCCCGATGCTTTTCCCGGTTTGAACAGAATTTATAGCCTTTTTAATTTCCGGTTGTGTTATGGGATCTGACAAAAAAGAGGAATTATTACAATCTTCACAATCAGTCGAGACA